AATTCATACAAAAGTCAATTGTGTAAAAATCTTTGTTAAAGTATTAAAACATGTATTTTTCAAATCGCTATTTCTCTTTTATTTTTAAAGATAGAGATTTAAAATTTGCTTAAATTTAATAAAAATAAGGTTTAGTTTAATAATATAGAGAGCTTTTTGGTTCATTCAAAAGTCAATCGTGTAAAAATCGAATCGACCAGGGTGGCCCCAGAATGTGGATAAATGACACAACCGTAGTATAATAATAGTCAATCGATGACAAGCCTTAAAGCTATTAATCGATTATTGTTCATACAACACAATATGATTGTTATCAGTTGCGGCTGTGGCTGCGCCATTTGTCCGCACTTTGAGGAGGCCAACCTGGTCGATTCATAAAAATCTTTGTTAAAATATTAAAAAAAACCTTTTATCATATATACTATATTAAAATAAGTATACTCGCTCTAAATTAGCATTCTATATATAATTCTCGATTAAATAATTTTTTTTATAACCAATAAGTTCTTTTTAAAGTTTTAGCAATTGAAAGTTTAATAAATTATTATATATTGCAAGTAATTGTTTATTTTCATTAAGATAAAATATAATAATTAAATGCAGGGATATTTACAAATATAATATTAGTCTTTGTTTATACCTTAAATTAAAATTTATTATAATATTGATCAAAATGATATATAAAAATGATGTATCAAAAAATGATGTATCAAAATGATGTATCATAATGATGTATCGAAGTAATGTATCAAAGAGATATATAGTAATAAATTAAATAGTATAATTGTTCATTATGATATTTGTTTAATTAATTACAAAGGCAATTTTGTAATATAGATTTATTATAAAAATATTATTTTTTTCTTTTTTTTTTGATTTCAAAAATTAAAAGTTAAAAATTAAAATGGGACACCTATCTAAAACTCGTAAACATTGTAAAAAAACACGTCTCACCAAAAATTCCAAACCTTATAATCTATCATCCCCAATTGATTAATCTAATCGATGCCAAATTTCTACATGTAATTTTTATATTTATTGATGTAGAAATTTTTAACCAGTTACGATTGAAAACAATTCAATCGATCTAAATAAATCTGAAAATTTAGTTAATCAGCAACAAATATCAATTTCGCAATTGGCCATCTCGAAAGTAGAAAAAATAAAAAAAAGACCTAGTAACAAAACTTAACTACTTATCAGAAAAGGAATTAATAACTTGCTCTCAGTTATTTAATAATATGATATATAAAGATAGACCAAATAAAGAAAAAATCTTATTTCCGTATTTACAAGAAAAAGCCACAGAGTTGTTATTCGTGAGTCATGGAAAATCTAGTTTCAATTTTCAAGAAAAACTTAAACTATTAAAAGCTAAAAATTTAAAATTAAAAAAAAAATACTTAGATTAACTCATAGAACAAAATCGTTAACGATTAAACTCAACTATTTTAAAAAATCTAAAAGTAAATATACTTCCAAAATTAGATCATCTATTAAAAAAAAAAGAAAAATATCAGATAAAAATATTGAAAAAGCCATAATTAAAAAAATTAAACAAAATAATCGTGAATATATATCTGAGTTCATTTCTATGGCTACGAATTTAAGTACTTTTGGTCATACTTCAATATTATCAATGATACAATGCATAAAAAAAATTATAATATTTCTTACTGGTCGGCCTCCTAAGTCATGCTTATCTCCAAGTACTTTATCACGATGGACAAAAGAAGTAGCAGAAATTTCTATACAAGATAATATACCTTAATTTTTAAATCGATTTAGCTTATATAGAATTTTAGCAGACGAAAGTACTAGAGGAGAAAAAAAAAATTTTTTAGTATGTATATCTTACTGGAATGAAAACAAACAAGAACCTATGCTTACTATCCTTAATATAAAAGATTTGGATCGTTGTTCAGCATCCACAGTATCTTTAAGCATTGAAGAAGCTATTAGTAAAAATTTATTAAATCTAGCACAATATCAATATTGGCTTACTGATAATACAGCTTATATGTCAGAATCAACTGCTGGTGCTGTTGTTAAATTTAATCAGCAATATTCGGCAAAAGCAACTCGAATTTCTTATAGTCTACATGCATTATATATAGCTTCAGTACATTTTAATAATACAACATTTGGAAAAACTAAATCTCTTTCAGGAATTTGCTTAGAGCCATATCTGTTCAATGTTTTTAATTTGGCTTATTATCTTCACTGTGGGTATAACAAATCTGATAAAGACAATCCATTAAATATGAAAGCAGAAAAGATTAGCAAATTATATAAAGCGTTACTTAATTATGATCTTAAGAGATATCAAAAACCTATCTCAACCCATTGGTTATATCAATTAACTATGGCAAAACAGTATTTAAATCGAAGAGATATTCATTTACAATTTTCTAGTTGGTTTATTAATCAACTAGAAAAAGCAAACAAAATTCCTAAAAGCTATTTAAAAAAATAGAAAATGTTTTATAGTTTTTTGCAAAATGATAAACTAAATATAGAGATTCAAATAATGGTTAGTTTTGGCAAATGGTTTTATGAAAAAGTTATATTCTTTTTAATTGGTAAGGATACAAATACTACGAATCTTCCAAACGGATTTAGAGCAAGCAAAATACCAGATAAGGTCGAACAATGGATTAATGATTTGCAAATAGCATCTGAATATCCTGATGAAGTCTTTGTAGAAGAGATGTTATTAGCTCATGAAACTTTATCTACAGATGAGTTTAATGATTTAATTAATAGAATTGAATACGGATTAGTAAAAGCATTAGATGCATTTAAACGGTGGATGGATCTATAGACACATTTACCTCTTTCTATATGCCGGCTTGGAGGAATTCATGGCTCCGATTTTGCAGTTGCAATTATTAAGGTTATACTAAACACTCATATTTCAGAAAATATCACTGAAATATAGAAAAAGTATATAAATGAATTAGTAAATGATATAAAAAATAAGAAACAAGAATCTTTTGGATTATTTGAAGCATTA